AATTTGCTCCTTTACTATGTAATACCAACTCTATTTAGTCCTCCACAAGGGTATAGCTACGGGGCCATGCTTGGCCTTGGCCCACCCCAAATCTTAAAAATGCTGAATATTACTGTACCAAATTTTGTGTAATAGTTCATCTAGAAAAAATTCTTTATACTTGTGCATCCCAATTTTTAACCCCTAGCTACGCCACTGTCCTCCATGGACCAACACACCATTCATAAGTACAGTAGAAGGTACCTGAGAACTAAACTTAGCTTAAACTGAACCACCGAGGACCAGATTGAGTTTAAGATAAAGTTAAAGACCAAATGGTGTAGTAATAGTTGAGGGACTAATTTGAGTGCTAAATTTTCTTTTATAATAAATTGGTTTCGTTTTGGGGATTTTTGGCTTGAGCTCCTGATGCTTACCTGCAGAACATCAGCATCAAGGGAAGAGTACGACGGACAAAAGCTTCATCTGGGTGCCCAATGCTTAGAAGCCGCAAAGTGGAAAAAGAGTTTAGGAGTGAGATTTCTGAACAAGGGCCTTTGGATATTGAGGATGTTGTTCATATTGGTCGTCAGCTGGGAACATGCCCATATTATGGTTCCAGAAACCTTGTCCCTAAAGCAGACCTTGTTGTTCTTCCTTACCAATCTCTTCTTTCAAAGTCATCTCGTGAATCTCTTGGTTTGTGTTTAAAAGGTAATGTTGTGATTATTGACGAAGCTCATAATCTAGCTGATTCTCTTATCAGCATGCATGATGCAAGAGTTACTTTGTCTCAGGTAAAGTAAATATCCATGCATTAGACAAACGATACCTTATAAGCATTTGCCACCCTCATTTAGCTATTTATGTGTTGTGTATTTTAGACAAAGTAAAGTGTGTGTTTCAGATTGTTTATTTAAAACTTAAGTCAACGAGAAGCCTTTTCACTAAATAAAATAAAAAAGCGCTTTTGAAGCATTTGACTGGATAATGGAAAATGTACGTGTAATGTTTATTTTAGAAGGCAGCATTTTGGTGCTTTTTCTGAAATGAACTTCAAATGCACTTATAATAAATGGTTGGACTTAAAAAGAACGGACTCTGTATCTACTTATTGTCTGTCATATTTCAGTTGGACCGTGTTCATTCTCATATGGAAAGTTACCTCAAGAGATTTCAGAATCTTTTAGGACCAGGAAATAGAAGATATATACAGACGCTGATGGTAATCACTCGAGCCTTTCTCCGGATTTTATGTCATGGGACGAATACTGGAGGCCCATTTTGCCCTGCATCAGAAGGAACTGAAAGTGGTTTCGAGTTTTCCATGACAATTAATGAGTTCTTGTTTTCTCTCAACATTGACAACATAAACCTTGTCAAACTGGTCTATTATATGCATGAGAGCAATTTAATTCATAAGGTGAGAACTGCAATTCATTTAGGTTGTAACCTTTGCTTAGCTTTTGAAGCTTAAAATGATGTTTTGATCTTTCAGGTCTGTGGATATGGAGACAAAGTAGAGAAAGAATCAGTTTCAGAAGCCAGTGACCAAAGAGATGGGGAGGGAAGCTCACTATCTGGTTTCCAAGCACTGCTTGGTATGTTACTGTCTTTAACAAATAAAGATTCAGATGGAAGGGTAATAGTATCAAGGACAAGGCCAAACCCCGAAGGAAAGAAAGGAGGTTATCTCAAATACGTCATGCTCAGTGGAGAAAAGATATTTTCTGAGGTTTGCTAAATTTCTTAGGCCCCATTTGCCGGCATTAATCGGCTAATTCTGCTCATCAGCAGAATAAGCAGCCTTTGGCTTTGACTTGCTTATTTGGCTGAAATGAATCGAATCCTTTACCTCTCAGAAAACCCTTATCAAAGGGGCCCTTAATCTTACTTTCGACAAATAGCTAAAGCTAGTTTTCATATCAACCAGGTTTAATTACAGACTGTTATTTCAGGTGCTAAATCAAGCCCATGCCGTCATATTAGCTGGGGGAACTCTACAACCTATAGAAGAAACAAAGGAACGCCTATTCCCATCTTTACCCCCCGAGAGGATGCATTTCTTTTCATGTGGTCATATCATACCTTCTGAAAATATATTACCCATTGCTGTTTCCCACGGGCCATCTGGTCATTCCTTTGATTTTAGCTACAGTTCCAGAAGCTCACAGATCATGGTAAAACTCCTTTCACCAACTTAACCATTTTCTTACCAAACTTTTGAGCATCTGGAAACTTATTTTTAATTTGATGCTTAAAATATATGAATCCTTTTCCTAGCATTGTTTTATTTTTAATTTGATGCTTAAAATACAAGAATCCCTTACCTGGCTATTCATTATTACTTAATATGGTCCTCGGATTTTTGGGAACTGAATTTGGTCCTCTGCTATGCAAATTGGACCAAATTAAGTTCTAGTACATATTTGATTCTACATAAGGTCATTTTTGGCAATTCACTAAAATTTTGACCCATTTAGGACCACATTTGGTCCTGAACTATGTAATTTGGTCCCAAAAAAAGTTGAGTGAAAGTATAACAGTATAAGTTGAGGGACGAAGTCGGTATTAACTCTAGTATTTTTCTTTCAGACCTAGTGAGTAGTGATGTTAATTGGTTCATGGTGAACAGATTGAAGAGTTGGGGCTCCTGCTTTGCAATATAGCGACATTGGTCCCGGAGGGAGTAATTGTGTTCTTCTCATCATTTGACTATGAATCAATGGTCTACAATTCTTGGAAGGAATCAGGCATCCTTGCAAGAATTGCCAAGAAGAAACGTGTATATAGAGAGCCTAGGAAAAGTTCAGAGGTGAACGCTGTTCTTAGGGAATACACGGATACGATTGATCACAAACGTCAATTTGAATCTATGAATGGTGCTATTCTCTTTGCAATTGTGGGTGGGAAGATATCTGAGGGTATTAATTTCAGTGATGGAATGGGGAGATGCATAGTCATGGTTGGACTTCCCTATCCGAGTCCCTCAGACATTGAGTTGATTGAGAGGGTGAAACATATTGAAGGAATCGGGCGTCCATCATCATTGATTAAAACACCTGAGGTTTCAGTTCAAGCTCAGTGTTTTAATGGGGATGCACAAGTTGGTCTAAACATACTAAGAAGCTGCAAGCACAGAGGGAAACAGTATTATGAGAATCTTTGCATCAAAGCTCTAAATCAATCTATTGGTATGTGCTATGCCCTAAAATTTCAGCTTTAAAATTCCTTCTTGTTTGTACTTGGGGTACGTTTATATCATGGAAAATAACTAAAGGACAATGATATACTCCCTCCGTCCCGTTGGAATGTTCCCGTTCACTATTCATTGGTCAACTTAGGTCACTCCTAATCTTTTACTTTATATATCAAATTTTTATCAAATTGAACTTTTCTTGATCAGGCTTTGTAGCGGTTTTAATGTAGTTTCTGAATATGTAGATTTTATTTACTAAAAATAAGCGGAGTGTGAACAGGGATCAAGTTGCTTTATCGTCAGTCAAGCATCGTAAACTGAACGGGAACATTCCAACGGGACGGAGGTAGTAATAGACATAAATAAATGATAATGATACGGTTTAGGGAAGTGATAAAGCTATCCCACTCTCACCGTAAAATATTCCCACAATTTCTTCCCTTGCCCTCTCCCCTGTGCACATCATTTTCCATAATTAAAACCGTATAATAAGATATCTAACATAAGTTAATTTGAGGTTTATTCTATCTTTTATTTCTCCTACATTCTTTTTAATTTCCCACCATCTATTCCTTCCTACTTCTTTTCCCTAATATTATTCATGTCCTAAACAAATAATATTAGGGTGAAGGCTATGTTTCTCAAGAGTTTGCGAAATGAAAATGTTCTTTTTCTAGAGAGTTTCAATGCAATATATGGTGGAAGTGTGAAGGGTTTCGAGGGCTTAACCCGTATCTCGACAAATAAATTGAAAGATTAATGCAATATGTGATTTTTGTTGCAATCTTGATCACATTATAAACAAATATTTTGTAGCATTTCTAGTGGCTATTCAGTATTTGGCATTTATTCCAGGTAGAGCTATCAGACATATAAACGACTATGCTGCAATTTTGTTAGTTGATGGACGATATGCATCTGATCCAACAGAACGAAGGTCTTCTCATTTAACAAACAAGCTTCCACAGTGGATCAAAGCCCGACTTGTTTCTTCAACTAGGAATTATGGAGAGGTCCACAAGCTATTGCATCACTTCTTCAAATTCCATAAAGATAAAGTAAAAGGTTCCAAGGTTGTACTACATGAAACACAAATATGTAGCCCTTCCTGTTTCTGAAGCAATTGTATTTATATGACGTCCATGGCATTAGAGAGGCTGAGGGAACTGAAATTTAATGTATATATAAATAAGTAATACTACTATGTGATATGAATTAAACCAAAGTTAGAGTTATTACTGCGATTGCGTACTTCAGGATATGGCACATTTCTTGATAAACGCTGTAGGTACTCGGAAAGCGTTAGTGAAAGAATACAGAGAAGGAATTCGGAAATAAAAAGTTGTTTCAAGCTCAATAAATCATTTTAGATATTCTTCAAACTAATATTCACCAAAATATATTAACTATATAAAGACTATGAAATCTTATCTTTCTTTTCTTTTTGGCTCTCATAATATCATGTATTGAGCCATGTTAGTTGACCATTTTTTTAGATTAAGGTTTGGATGTTGTAAATTCTACAAAATCTAAATTAGATGTTGAGTTTTAAAAAAGTTTAATGAAATTTGATTTACCTTCGTTGTAGGTAAAACTTAAAAGTGTAAAACGAAGAATAAAGCCCTTTTTTGTTAGTATTAAAACAATCCCCTTCCGTTTTGAGTTAATTGTACACTGTATACTTCTACCGAACAAACTGTCTATCTGATATGGTTTTGTAATAATTGATCTATTTATCATTCTTGTTGATCATTAACTAACACAGAATACAGTTCCCAAATTTCAAAAAATTCTAGTACACAATTTTTATTCCCAAAAAATTGGCAGTGAACATTTTTTTTGAGGGTGTGAACGTCTATTTTTTGTATTGTTCCATAATGCAAGTATACATCTGAATGAGTTTATCACGTTACATGGTTACATCTATGCCTTGAACGTAAATGGAGAGAACAAGAAATGGTGAGGGAACAGTGTGGACATTTTATGTATAAAATTATCAACAAGTAGGAATGTATTTAATACCAACTCAAAGGAAGATAGGAAGGTAATCAAAGTATTTGATACCAACTCAAAGGAAGAAGAACCAAACTTCTTATCCAGCATCTTCAAGCAACCCTTCTGCAATTCAGGCGAACCTTACCCTGAGTTGCATTCAAGACTCCAAGAGTGGAAAGCTTCATCATTGAACGGCAAAACTTCAGGCGGAACAATTTAGCGTCCGAAGCAAATGCTTCAACCCATTCTGCAGTTTCTTCAGATTCCGTCAATTGCTGATCGGAGAAGAGTATCCCTTTGCTCTGTAGAAGGCTTTGGTAGTATATTGTACCAAAACCATTTCCAGGTCCCTTGTAGTCCATCTTGATTACTGGCTCCTCTTGTGCTGGTGAGGGTGCTGTTTGGCTAATGTTGCATTTCGACCTTAAATGGTTGAGGAATTCGGTATTTAGAGAAGGGTCAGGGTCTTTAGCTCCTCCAAGACGGTCGCTAAAGAAGTGACAATGGATCACACCTGTGCTGTGGCTCCCTGTGCCGCATGCAATAGATGCATCACATAAGTTCTACGGTAAGGGCCCATTTGGAAATCGGAACATGTCAGGGGAAAGAAAATAGACAATAATTTTGGAAATAAAATGTGGTAGAAAATAGAACATTTCAACATTATTTCAAACTCAATGCCCATATCATGTACTGCGTATTTACTTTTCATGTTTGTTCAAACTGATTTTATTTCTGTATTCACATCAAATAAAGATTAATAAATGTAAACATGTGTAAAAAGTTACACTATACATATTTCGTTTTCCTTTCCATTTTTCCAAGGAAAATACAAACACACAAAAATTCCTTGACATTTTTTTTCTTTTCCATAGCATTTTATGGGATGGAATCATGGAAACGTATGTTTGGAACTCCGTGAAATACTAGTGAAAAGATAACAGCAATAAATGATTAGAGGAAAACAAGAAGATGAGCTAAAAGCCCAAAAAGGCTAACACTCAATAAAGTTATCTGACTTATTTCAGGTACTTGTTGATAGTTTTGATATTCCTTTTTTATTTACTTATTTATTTTTTCATTCATACGGAGAATTATTTGACCTGTTTCGATGATTAAAATATTAATCATGTGCCATTTTTCTTTTCATTTTCTAAGGCAAGCCAAACATTATAAAATAACACTGTAAATCAACTTTTTTTAGTAGTTGTTTTCCTCCTTTCCAAAAGTATCTTCTTAGAGCAGAGGTAAGAAACTATGCAGATGAAAAAGATTTTTATGGTACCTAATAGACTGACCACTTCCCATTCTTTGAAACCTTTTGATGAGAACTTGTTAAGTATCTTGGGAAGGTCATCTGTAGGTGCTGGGAGTTGATTAGCAATTTGAAGGTAAGCAATGAGACTATCCTTTCTTCCAGTTGTCAATGGGTAGAATGGACCACCAACCTGGTGGAATACTTAAAGTTTCAGTGATGATGATAGTAATAACTATTATAATTATGATATCCATATTATTGTTATTATTATTTATATAACTGTTATTATGCAAATTGAGGATGAAATTAAATGTTTTTCATGAGAGATTTCCTTATTTACCAGAATAACACTCTCTCTTGCAGCCAGAACAATAATATCTGCACAAGAAACAACTCCTGGGCAGGTCTCTTCAAGCTCGGATTTGATGATATCAATCACATCATCACCCTTTAAAAGCAAATTGGGAGTTGCTTCCTTCTCACTTTCAATTCCATTAGCTGGGTCTAGTAGAACCGAGGCATCACAGCCCTAATTCAAACATCGATCATTCCCAAATTAACCTCAATCCAGAACCATCAAAATAGATGTGCAGACTTTAGAAGCAACTCATAATCTAAACATGCCACTACAAATTATGCACTCCTTACATTAGAATCTTCAGAGGATGATGTATCACATCATTACTTCGGTTTTTACAGAAAATCAATCTTAAAGCATGTGTGAATCAACTCTTACATCATTACTACCAAAGACAACCATTGTCAGTCTCAACTCTCAGCACTGAAGTACTTATGGAGTTAGTGGAGTTGAACATTTTCCCCAAGAAATGAATAAATTGTCGTGAGGACAAAAGCCTACAAAATTTATTATTATCTGGTCGAAAAAGTGAAGATTAGCTCCTCACCGCAGAATTTTTGAACAAAACTTATTCAATTAATATGAAAACTCATGGTCGTTTAGACTTTATAATGTTGAAACAACTTAACATAAGCAAATATGACCTCTGGGAGAAAGGAGAAACGAGTCTTAGGAAGAGAATTCACTTTTAATTATAAACAAATAACAGATTCAGGCAAGGAATTGCTTAAATCGAAACAAGCAGAATTTCGTACAAATCACCAACAGGTTCGGTCTAAGCGAAGTGCGAGCTGGAAAATTGACCTGAACAAAGCAGTCATGGAAAACAAGCCTCAAAAGTTGAGGAGCGATGCTAGGACGAGTGCTGTAGAGGCTCCGTACGGTGGATCGAACAATGTACTCCGCCTGAGGGCACGTTTCGCCGTAGAAATCGTATCTGAGACTCTCCTGAAGCACATGAACTTCAATCTTGTTGTCTGTGAATGTGAATGGAGAAGTTGGAAACGACTCTTTACCAGCTTGCGAAGACTTCAACGTCTCGAAATTCGCAGAAAATGAAGAAGGATTCCTGTTGGTTTCGGCGTTCTGATTCTTCAAGCAGATTATCAGAACTACGATCAGGAAGACCAGAAACAAATGCTTTTTGAATTTCATTTCTCAAACTTATGGTTTTACTTAATCTCCTTGTTTGTTTTTGAGAAATTAATCTCAGCAGAAGGTTGTGATGAGTATCTAGAGAGCGGGAACTGGGAATATAAGAACCGCCATGTGTTAGACGTCTATTCTCTTTTGCTTGACCAATGAGGTCGGTAAAATAGTTTTAAAAGTATTTATCCAATAATGTTTCAATCTATGTTTAAGCATTATTATATCGAGTATTTAATGTAATTGGTATTCTCTCAATAATACCAATTAAAATGTTTACATCTAGACACTGTGTAATATTACCTCCGCCCCCGTGAACTTTATCAAGTTAGAATCAAGTGAGAAATAAGAAAAGTGGAAGTTGTGTGATTGTGTTTAGTACAGATGAGAGAGAAATGAGCAGAACTACAATTTATTTACTTTAATAAGAAAATTGCAAAGTTTCTTAGGACAATAAAAAAAGGAAGGTTTGCAAAATCCAATGGAAGAGAGAGAGAGTAATATTTATTTATTTGTTTCTCTCATTCCACGCGTGCATCGTGCACATTGTGCTACTGGTGTGCATCGTGCACATTGTGCTACTGGAGATGTTTTACGAAATTGCTGGTGACTTGGAGCACTTTGTGATCCGGTTACTTATTTAGAGATCTTTGGTCTAATGGAGTCCAAAGAAGGGTGTCAAGTTACTTATTTGGACTTCGAGCACTTTGGAAGTGTTTACTTGAACTGTAATCCGTCCCAGACCAGTTCAAACAAGACCAGACCAAACTTGGATAGTTATAAAAATACAAAGAGACCAGACATTACCAAACCAGACCAGTTCAGACCAGGCCAGACCAGCAAATCATAGTCCACGTAAAAACATCCTTTGTGATCCGGTTTTACTATTAACTAGATCTGCTTAGGGTTTAAACACCCTTAAGATGCATTGATGTTATTCACAAACAAATGCCGTATATGATTTGTTTAATGAAACAACCATTCTTGTTGTACCCACCCTTACACCCACCTTATACCCACAAACCATGTTTGTGAAAGTTTTTTTGTCAGTGAATCCGATTCACAGATAAAATATGTGTTATTTTGTTTGTGCAAATTTTGCACAAACAAAACATTGTCTGTGGGTATAAGGGTGTGTACAAATAGCTTTTTTGTTAATGAAAGAAAGCTGCATTTTTTGGTCGTCGATTGTTTAAACACAGAGAGCTCGTTTGGTAGTACCCAAATCGGCTGTATTGACTGATTTTGCTGAAATTTATAAAGTTCTGATTGAAGTGACTGAATTGACTGATTCTGCTTTTTTATGAAAAATTATTAAATATGATTATTAATGAACCAAATAATTCAAGCATGAGCTTATCAACGAACATCACTTAAAGTTTTAAATTTGAGCATATCTATTATGCTTATCGAGCGTTCGGTTCAAACTTCAAATGCTTATCGAGTCAAACACGAGTCTCATGTGTAAAACTCGTCTAGTTTCGAGCTCGAACTTGAACACCACTATTATTGAATCGAGGCGAACTCGAGCTCTGGGCCAGGTATTCAGGCTCGGCTCGTTAACTGCTCTATTGGAGACCAAAGAAGGGCGTCAAGTTACTTATTTGGACTTGGAGCATTTTGTGATCCAGTTTTACCATTAACTAGATCTGCTTAGGGTTTAAACACCCTTAAGATGCACTGATGTTATTCGCAAACAGATGTCGTATATGAGTTGTTTAAAGAAACAAGGAAAAAAGGGTCATATACACCCTCATACTATATCATACTATATCTAATGAATCACTTCAACCCATCTACTTTAAAAACCATCACATACATGCATTTACTATCTAAAAATAATCATTTGAACCCACTTTACCGGATGACAACCCTCTGGGGTCGGTCATAGGCTGATTTGACATTCTTTCTCCTTTTTTGTTTACCCTTTTCATTTTCTTTTCTTTTTCTATCCTCCATGTGTATCGTATTTCTATAGTACTACGACGTAATGTATTTTGTATTCTTCCTTTCTTCGTATAGTTCACAACTCTGGAAACTTTCTTTCTTTTGTTTTGTTTTGTTTTTTTTCCTTTTCCTTTTCTTTCTTTCTTTTACCTTTTTGTTTTCTACTCTTCTTCTTCCTCTTTAAATAAAAGAAAACGCATCATATTTTAGAAGAAGCTCTAAAAATCATTTTTCCATTTTTCTAATTTCTTTGTTTCCTTTTTCTAATCATTGTTTCGTTTTCCCATAAATTATACACTTTTTGTATTACATGTTTAAAATTCTTTATCCCACACTTTTTGTACCTAAAATTAGGATATAGACAAAAAAAATGTCATACGTAAACCTTTAATTTCAGACTAAAAACGTCTTGTAAAGACAAAAAAACAACAAGACTAAAAAATTGTACTCCTTCTGTCCCATTTAAAGGTTCCTGTCTACTATTCTCCGGTCAACATGAATTGTTCTTAATCTTTTATTTTATATATCCAACTTTTATCAATTTTTTTATCATGTCTTATAAAACTTTTAATGTAGTTTCTTAATATGTACTACCTCTGTTCCTAAAAATTCTTCCAAGTTTAAATGGCACGCTTATTAAGAAAGTGGAAATGTATGGTTGTGGTTGTGTAAGAAAAAGGTAAAATGAATGTGAACCACACAAATTGTCCAAAAATGGAAAGTGGAAAGTATTTTTGGGAACGGCCCAAAAAGGAAAGTGAGAAGTATTTTTGGGAACGAAGGGAGTACATTTTATTTACTACAAGTAATCTCATTAACGACAGAGACCAGTTAAGTTTATAATCAGTCAAACATCATATCGTAAGCCGCGCGAGAACCTTTAAGTGGGACAGAGGGAGTATATACAACTTTTGTACATATTTTCAAAACCAACAAACTTTTTATGTAAATTTATGTCTCCTGCAAAAAATGTTGATTAAAGATTCCAATTTTACAATCACTAATATCTCGTGGAGGTTTTTTTTTAATATTTCATAGTGATTTTTCATGTTGAAATATAGTATCTTAGTTGTAGGCATCAAATAAAAAAATTTCAGTCAGAAAATCTAAACTTTACAAACAAATTAATGTATAATACAGTCAAAAATGTTTTAGACAATATCAATCATAGTACTAGTGTGATTTTTACACATTTTTTTTTTAAATGGCACCGATGATTCTTTGAGTAAAAAAAGCACTTTTGGAGTGATTTGGAAAAAGTGATTATTTGTAAAAGTTGATAGTGTTTGAGAAAAAAGTGATTTTGAAAAGTAAAAGTTGGTAGTGTTTGGTAAAATAAGTGCTTTTGGTGTATAAAAAGTGGAAAAGCACTTTTGACACGAAAGCCGAGAAAAATAAAAAATTGGTAGTGTTTGGTAAATAAGTGCTTTTTTAAGCCAAAAGCTGAGAAGTGCTTTTTTTAAAGTGGTTGCAAACCAGCCTGTAATCCGTTCATTTGGGCAATTTGATGGTTTTTTAGTAGTAGGTGTATCTATTTGATTCTTTTCTTAGTAGAGGGGCTCAAGTGATTTATTTGGTATAGTAGGAGGGTGTATTTGACCCTTTTTCCAAGAAACAATCATTCTTATTGTACTCACCCTTACACCTACCTTATACCCATCATATTTGTGCAGTTTTTTTATGTGAATCCGATTCACAGATAAAATATGTGTTATTTTGTTTGTGCAAATTTTGCACAAACAAAATATTGTTTGTGAACAAAACTTATAGACAAAAAAGTCTGCACAAACATAATGGGTATAAAGGTGGGTATAAGGGTGAATACAAGCAGTTTTTTTTGTTAATGAAAGAAAGCTATGTAGTACATTTTTTGGCCTTCGATTATTTAAACATGGAGAGCCCGCTTTGTAGTATCTAAATCGACTGTATTGACTGATTCTGCTGAAATTTATAAAGCTTTGATTGAAGTGATTGGATTGACTGATTTTACTGTTTTATGAAAAATTATATTTAAATTTTGAAATAACATAACAAAATTGTATAAAGAAATAATTAAAAGATACGTGTTTGGTGAAGAAGTTGACCGATAAGGTGAAAAATAGGTTTCCCAAATGTGTTTCAATTCATATGGTCTATGTGTGCAGAATTGGCCCTGGCCCATTAGTTAAACCGAGAGAATTTGCAGAAGCAGAGGTCTACACACTCCCAGGCCCTAAATTACGCTCATTCTCCCTATTTATTACCCCGGAGAACTAATTGATTCTGTGGAGAATTGGTCTGCGGCAAAGGTGTCCTTGTTCTCTTTCAACACTCAATCAGATCAGCAACCATGTCCTCCAAGCAAGGTCCTTCGTCATCTTCTTGACGTTTATTTTTTTTTACTTTAATTTCTCGTTAGGTTGAATTAGTTCTAGTTGACAGGATGAAGCATGGGAGATATTAAGGATTAATATTTATGGGTTCTATTTATTTTATAATTTGATTACTGTATTCTGACTGTAATGGGTGATCTTTGTGAAGACAACCCCTCTATCCGTAACTATTAGTACGTAGTACTTCTTTGTTGTTCAGTTTAATCCGAAGAGTTAAGCAACGTTAGGTTTGAATTTCGTTTTGTTTTGTTTCTCTTTTGAATCTACTTATATGCCACAACCTACAGGTGGAAAGGCAAAGCCTATGAAGAAACCGAAGTCTGAAAAGAAAGAGTTAGATGAGGTGATTCTTCTGGCTCGAAGTCTCGATCTTTAACATCTGTCCTAATTTTAATTTGTCTGTATTTGATGTGCATTTTTCAGTGCTTTGGCGGTAAATTTTGTAATGATATGAGCTTTGTCTGTCTATTTACACCCCTGGCAGCCGTAGTTATCGTGGTGTACAAGGCAAAAATTTCAAAGATTGTATTCAACATCAGGACGATCCTTCCTAATGTTGCACAACATCATTCAAAATTTTGTCTTGTGCCATGAATCCATAATGCCATTGCATATTGATAGATGTATTGCTTTATAATTGGTTATAAAGCAAATTTGCTCTGCCACCCATTTGGTGCTATACTTCTCAATGTGAACTATTTGTTCAATTTTTATGGCATATCCATCAATTTTCGTTTGCTCTCCTTTTTCCTGGTATCTTGGTATTTCGACTTTCTGATTCAGGTTTAATATGCCCCTGAACTATATATAAAAAATACTCCTTAAATTT